GTGTTTCTGCACGTTGTTGCGTGAAGAACGCATCCACAAAAGGAGTTAATCCAGAGCCGCACAGGCACGTTCGTGCATTCGGGGCATTTTGTGCAGATAGCCTATAAGACATAATATTAACGTTATGTTGTATAAATAATGAAGTGTATTCTATATGAGATAAATGATCAGTTAAATCCCATTGATTAACACTCTACTGGTCATCTTCAGTGCGTGCAGCTCAAAACAGAAATGCAGAACATTAATAACTACTGTCATATACATAACATTATAATGAGAGCACTACTGTAAAAATGTTGTGAATTATTAGGGTTTCGCAGACGTTTAATGTTAACTATCTTTTAATCAAAACATAAAACATTATTTACCCCGTTTGTATCTACGAGGCGTCTGTTACACATTTTCCCTGTGTTAACGTAATTATGACTGTCGAATGTCTGACTTGACTCTTGGTAATGTATTTTGCCCCGCCCCCAAACATATGATTCGACTATCAGTCGACTATCATATCAGCAAGATTCGAAAAATCCGATTCGACTATGAAAATCCTAGTCGGGGACACCCCTAAATATCAACAAACAAAAAGTTAGTGGAGCATTTTACACACAGAGAACTTTGAGAGACCTTAGGCATTCAACAATAGCAAATATTTTATATGAATACCAAGGAGGTTACATTTTTGTGCTATTGTATTTTTGTTGATTGTTTCTAAAATGCTGTAAAAACAACAATCCTTAAAAAAAAAAAAATAAATAAAACTAGTGTAATGCATAAAAGTAGCTAATAAATTGCTGTAACAAAGTCAATTGAAAAATATTCACAAAAAAAAAAGATTCAAAACATTTTTAAAAATGAGTATCCATGAGGTTAAACTATGTTTGCATGTGTTTGTTGTGTCTAAAAAAACAACACAACCTTAAAAAACAAGCTAGTGCAACGGTCAGAAGTAGTGTTGTAAACCTGAAACAAAAATAATGTTAGCATAATATTTTTTACACAGATTATATATGAATGGTCATAAGGTTGAAGTGTCATTGTATGCATGTCTGAAAAAAGCTGAGAAAATGACCAAATGGAAATTTAAAAGTAGGGACTGTCATATAACCGACTAACAAAAACTATGCTACACAAAAAAAGTAAAAAAACAAAACAAAACAATGAATATACATTGCGGAACTGATTTGTTTTCTATGCATGTTTTTTCCATTATTTGTGTGTAAAGTGAACATGTTTTGGAAAAATAAGAAAATTGATGCATCAATTTTTCAAATGACCCTTATTCATATGTAGAGGGAGACCTCTGTATTAAATTCAAGCACTTTACAACAAATGGTTGTGCCATTGGGTGCCATTTTGATATATGTGTGTATGGGTGGCTAGCAGCAAGAACAAAAGGCTGCTATTTGTCTGGGTGCTCATGGGAGAAGATGCCATATCAAACATGCAACTGCATCCCTCAGACCTTTCTGAAAACAGGCCTCTACTTATCAATTACCTACCTGTCAGCGACACCGGCCGTGTAGGCAAATGTCCCTGCACAGGGCAACAATAGCGTTGAATGAGATTGCCATTTATGTGTGTGTGTGTGCACACGTGTGTGCGAGAAAAAGACGGATAATATGAAAAAGAAACATTTCACACAGGCAAAATACGCACGCTCTTACACTCAACGCAAACAAATGTGGACCTGTGGGGCATTTGCGCCTGCTGTTGCTCTCCAGCTGCGTTGTTTTGGTATAATGTGAGCTGACCACTCAGGTCCGCAGAAGGAAAGCTGGCCACAGGGTTTGTGTGTGTGTGTGTCTGGTCTCATGTCTCGGTGAATAAGGTGCAGTCTACCTGATCTTGACTTAAAGGGGCATAGCGTTTGTGTACACACACAACTGTGAGCCTATAAGTGCCGTCACCTGCGTCTCTAAGAGGTACAGTTCTGTGAGTGACAGAAGCATAGCCTACCTCTCATTCTCCCTCAAGTCTTTCCTCTCCCACCTATGATGGCGATTCTTTCAGAGGCAGACAAAACACTTCCTGTCCACCTGAATGAGAAGCGAGGAAACAAGCTGCCGTGCCGCATTTCTGCCGCTGAAGATATCAGAAAGGACTTTTTTCCTGTGTGAAGGTTAAAGGCTAGTTCAGGCAGCTCCTCTGTAAACTTTTAACATCAAAGGCGGGAAAGCCTGGAGAGCCAGAGCCTGTGTTTCCACACGAGAGCGGCGGTTTGAAAATAACTGCTTGTCCGTTTGGCAGACCTCTGAGAAAATGCCTCACAGGCCGGCTCTCTAAATAATAACCAGTCTTGTTAGTTAGAACTGGGCCTGGAGGCCAAGACAAAAGATGGTGTTTGGCTGACCGTGAGTGGCCTTCGGGGCACGAGGCCAAGCGGCCCTTCAGTTTCAACCTTGACTTCATTCTAGACCTGTTCTACTTTTTTTTTTCCCATTATGGAAACCTGTGCATTTCCTCAGAATGGTAGATAGAGTGAGAAATACAGTTGGACAATGCATAAAATGTTCATTTCCTCCCCTCCCCAAGCATTTTCTTATTACTCTCACCTTCTCGCATCATGCCGACGTTCAGACACTTCATGAAGCGGCAGGCTTGGCAGGACTTCCTTCTACGTTTGGTGATCTCACATTCATTGGTGGCGGGGCAGCTGTACTCAATGTTTCCTGTGGCGAGGCATGTAGAGAGAAGGAACAGAGAGTGTTTAATGACTGCCAACAAAACTTTATTCCTATAGCAATCCAGCAAGAAATAGCATAAAATATAATATAATATCTTATATTTACACATATAAGTTTGAGGTTGGTAACAAACAAACAAGTTATATACTGTACAGTATACAGTATATTGTTAAATATTCTCACAGTTTAAAAGATTCTATTTTAATATGTTTGTATGTAAAATATAACTTCTTATTGTGATGGCAAAGCTGAATTTTCAGTGTCACAATCCTTCAGAAATCATTCTAATATGATGATTTGGTGCTCGAGAATTTTTTATTGTTACTCTTATTATTATTAAATATTATCATCCATCACTGTGCAATATTTTTGTGGGAACTGTGATATATTTTTTCATGATTTAATTCATGAATAAAAAGTTCAAAACAACAACATTAATTTTAAATTTAAATCTTTTGTACCATTATAAATGGCTTTACTGTCACTGTTAATCAATTTAATGCACTGCTGCTGAATAATAATAAAAAAAAATCTTACTGACCTCAAACTTTAGAAATGAACTGATGTACTCTCAACAAATACAATACTGTAAGTGCAAGCCCAACCTCAATTTGTCAGTTAAAAAAAAAAAAAAAGAGACTGAAATACAGAAATCACTTCCCATCAAGTCTACATATGTGTTGTGTGACTGAGAGTGCAAAAGGTCACGCAGGAAAGCGCCACTGGCTCTCCTCAGAGGTCATGTGTCACAGAGCTGTGTGAAGCTGCATAGGCAGGCAGACAGGCAGGTCAGACTTTACTAAACCTAAACAAAGACCTGCAGGTCACAATTCACCTCTGTGTGAACTTCCAATCGCCTGGTGACCACTAACACGGCTCCTCATCCTACCAATCCCCCACATCAACACACACAGAGAGCCACAAGTTTGCTACTACGATTCCTGGCATAGAGGAGACTATTACAGCGTGTTCTTTGAGCATTATGATGCTATGAGAGGGGAAAACGCAATGATATATGCTTGTTATTGCAACAGCACGCAAATAGAAGCCTGATGAGTAATCTGGCACACAATAAAAGCATTTAAATAGTTTTTTTGGCTGTATTATAAGAATTACTTGCCAGATATAGTAATTTAATTTAACAAATTTAGGGTTTGGAACGGCTTATGGCAGTGTTGTAACTATCAATGTATGGAGAGAATCTGTGCAATAGAATAACCATTAGAACACAAATACGTGCACTCACACTTCTTGGGCTGAAACAGACTCTCTCACACACGCACTCATGCAATTAACATAGGGCCCGTCTGGGACCTCCACACTGATGAAATATTTCGGAGTTAATCAGACTTTGTAAACACTGATTTGTATTGACTTCTCTTCTGTGAACTGATGTTTCCTCATTAAAAAGCAGATTAGCAGCGCGAGCAGGGGGGCTAAATGCTCAAGACTGCTAATTCAACAGGAAACAGTATTTAAAGTATGCATGTCCATTAAACTGAGCTCCAATATTCATTAGTCAGGTAATCTCCAGAATCCATTAGGGTCTTCGAATTGGGAGGAATGCATGTCGAATGGGGATGTGTGTGAAGATGTGAGGTGATTCTCATGAGGGCTGAGGCCAGTTGAGTGGTCTTAACCAGCTGGGAATGTTTCGGGGGGGGGATCCTTGCCAATCTAATATAGGTGCTTTCCTACCAGTAGTTGAATGCCAATGGCTTGAGCGCTGTGTCCAGGTTATCAACACAGTGGAAAGGAGGCTATATGTGTGTGTGCGTGTTTGCTGACAGGATAGAGTGATGCGATTTGAGTTAGGTGGCAGTCGATTAGTGCAATGTCCATTGTCTATCACTCAAGTGGCTGCCGAGAGGTTTCAAACAAGATATAAAATGTCCCTAGCGCTTCCTTCCACTGCCTGTCTTCATACTAAACGCTACATTTCCATCATTCATCAGTCGCAGTCAAATGCCAATGAAGCTCATTACCAGAACATGGTGACAACTTGACCTTGGGCTGACCTTATACTACATCTATGAAGAAGGGAACATATTTGGGAATGTTCTGGGCTTCCTGAGGTGGCATTCTTGGTGTTCCCCTCCTGTATTTTGCCCACCGCCTGGCTACGAGTGGCTCAATTGGGAGGTGATAGATGCAGGTTGTCAGGTGGCATTGGAGGAGTGCCACCGGAATGCCAGCTGCCAGTGATTTGAGTGGCCATGGCACCCGTTCCGCCGCCTGTCCCAATGCCCCCAGTCGAACCGAGGTCTTGACGCCTCTGCATCCCATAACTCCCCAACCCTGCTCTCTCCCTAAAAAACC